AATGCCACCCCACCCCACCCCCTTGGAGAGTGCCACAGTGCCATGTAAAACCATCTACCACGTGGCACTTTCAGCTCCTTGAAGTGCCATCTAAAACCAACTCTCACGTGGCACTCGTATATTGGCAGTCTTAGCTCCTTGAAGTGATAATAGTGCCATCTAAAACCGTCTAACACGTGGCGCTCTCAGCTCCTTGAAGTGCCATCTAAAACCAACTCTCGTGGCACTCGGAATATTGGCAGTCTCAGCTCCTTGAAGTGATAATAGTGCCATCTAAAACCATCTAACACGTGGCGCTCTCAGCTCCTTGAAGTGCCATCTAAAACCATCTCTCTCTCACGTGGCACTCGGTATATTGGCACTCTCAGCTCCTTGAAGTGCCATCTAAAACCATCTCTCTCACGTGGCACTCGGTATTGGCACTCTCAGCTCCTTGAAGTGCCATCTACCATCTCTCTCGTGGCCTCGGTATATTGCCTTTCAGCTCTGAAGTGCCATCAAATCAACTCGTGGCACTCGGTATATTGGCACTTTCAGCTCCTTGAAGTGCCATCTAAAACTCAACTCTCACGTGGCACTCGGAATATTGGCAGTCTTAGCTCCTTGAAGTGATAATAGTGCCATCTAAAACCATCTAACACGTGGCGCTCTCAGCTCCTTGAAGTGCCATCTAAAACCATCTAACACGTGGCGCTCTCAGCTCTTGAAGTGCCATCTAAAACCATCTCTCTCACGTGGCACTCGATATATTGGCCTCTCAGCTCCTTGAAGTGATAATAGTGCCATCTAAAACCATCTAACACGTGGCGCTCTCAGCTCCTTGAGTGCCATCTAAAACCATCTAACACGTGGCACTTTCAGCTCCTTGAAGTGCCATCTAAAACTCATCTCTCTCTCGTGGCACTCTCAGCTCCCCAGTGTTTAGGGAGAGCCGTTCCTGCCTCCATCTTGTATCGGATCCCGTTGAGGTGCAGCTGCCCATCCTAGCCGTATCTCACACTGCCCAACCTCATAGCTGCGTTAGGTTCTACACGACTACCCGCCCTATATTGTATTGACATGTTCACTACACAGACATACATACACTACACACATACATACATACACACGTCACACACACACACGTCACACACACACACACACACACTATCTCCCTAACCAAGTGGTATTTAAAACAGCCATTGTGTTCACTATAACATGACTCCACACATGAACAATGAAGAACAATTGTTATTATTTCCACACATAAACGACTTTACCTTAACATACACGCCGCCATCCGTGACGTGTTCAATCGATAATGGTTAACGCTTCTTTTCTTTTTGGGGTACATTTACCTTCTTGGTGGTTAGGTTAAAACATAAGAACATAAGAACATAAGGAGTCTGCAATAGGCCGGTTGGTCTGTGCATGGCAGCTCCTGTCGAGAGTTACTACCACTCTCTATCATCCATGAATCTATCTGCCTCCTTTTAAAAACTTTCCAGTGTTCCAGCACTTACTACAAAGTTGGTAGCTTGTTCCTCGTCCACCACCCTATTTGTGAACCAGTTTCTTCCCTATCTCCTCCTAAACGGTTAGGTTAATGAGGTTAGTTATGGTTAAGTTAGGTAACTTAGTGTTAATTAGGTTAGGTTAACACTCTAACACACACCCCCTCCCCCGGACACCTGCTGCCGGATACCCCACCCTGTATAGCATGACCCCACCACTTCACACCAAGGCCCCCAACCCACCCATCCTGGAACCCACCACACACCCACCTATCTATCCATTTATCCATCCATCTATCTATCCCTCTGCCCTCAAGACTCAGAGAGAGGGGGGGAGGTAGGGACCACCCAACACCGAGAAAGGAGGAGGGAAGGAGGAAGAGGAGGAGGAGGAGGTGTGGGGTGACCAGCTAGTTAAGATAAACCAGGGAGTACTAACCTGAGATTTACAGACACATGGGTGTCCCCTTACTGCTGCAGTAGGGGGGGAAATAGAGGAAGGAGGAGAGAGGAGGGAGGAGTGAGGGGGAGGAGGAGGGAAGGAGAATGGGAGGAGGAGGTAGGGGAGGGGGAGTAGGGTGAGAAGAAATAGGAAATAAAGGGTAGGAGAATGAGGAGAAAGTGGAGAGATGGGGAAGAAGGGAAGGGGGGAGGATTGAGGGAGGTAGGAAGGAAGGGAGGTAGTAAGGGAAGAAAACGAGATAAACAGGAAGGATGAGGGAGGGAGGAGGGAGAGGAAGGGAGGGAGGGAGGAGGTGAGTAGAGAGGAGGAAGGGTCATGGAGGGTTCAAGATCGTATCGTGGAGAGGGAGGAAGGGGGCGGGAGTACATGGAGGGAGGAAGAGGAGAAAGAAGGACGTGACTCCAGCATGAATCACCACTGCCACTCCCTTCCACCCTCCTCCCACTACAGAGTGTCTCTCCATGAAGGTATTACAGTAAAAATACAGTTTATTCTTTTTGTTTTCAGGTAAGTCAAGCCACCACAGTACAACGACCCATCTATACTGTAACCAAAGACTGTACCTGTATTCTGCTCTGCCTGTAACGTGCCTACCCCACTCCCTGTACCTGTTCCATTATTCAGACATTCATGTTAACTGTACCTTAATCATGAAAGCAATGTACCTGTATATACCGCCATTCTGAAATCTATGCAATAATATTTCTAAATTTAACAAAATCACAATATCAAAGACTTTTACTAAAAATATAACCCATTTAAACGAATAATTTTATAATACAACAAAACTCCACTAAATAATGCAACAAATAAATCATTATTGTATTCGTATCCCAGTAGAGACGACGCATTAATCATATATAAATATAAACGTAAACAATATTATCCTGTGAGAAAAATTTTAATTTGGTAGATTCTGACGTCAAGGAAGTTGGTATAGAAAATAAATGAATAAAATATATAGATTTTTTGATGGGAAGGGAGGACAGGAAGTTGATTTAACCCTTTGAATACGATGATTTAACCCTTTGAATACGATGATTTAACACCTTGAATACGATGATTTAACCCTTTTGAATACGATGATTTACCCTTTGAATACGATAGTTCTTTGAATACGATATTTACCTTGAATACGATGATTTAACCCTTTAATACGATGATTTAACACCTTGAATACGATGATTTAACCCTTGAATACGATGATTTACTTGAATACGATGATTTAACCCTTGAATACGATGATTTAACCTTGAATACGATGATTTAACCCCTGAATACGATGATTTAACCCCGAATACGATGATTTAACCCCCTTGAATACGATGATTTAACCCTTTGAATACGATGATTTAACCCTTGAATACGATGATTTAACCCCTTGAATACGATGATTTAACCCTTGAATACGATGATTTAACCCTTTGAATACGATGGTTTAACCCCTTGAATACGATGATTTAACCTTGAATACGATGATTTAACCCCTTGAATACGATGATTTAACCCGAATACATGATTTAACCCCTTGAATACGATGATTTAACTTTGAATACGATGATTTAACCCTTTGAATACGATGATTTAACCCTTGAACGATGATTTAACCCTTGAATACGATGATTTAACCCCTTGAATACGATGATTTACTTTGAATACGATGATTTAACCCTTGAATACGATGATTTAACCCTTGAATACGATGATTTAACCCTTGAATACGATGATTTAACCCTTTGAATACGATGATTTAACACCTTGAGTACGATGACTTAACCTCCAGTACGACGATAACTCCTTTGCAGTCATCGTACTCAAGGCGTTAAATGCCCGAGGATCGAACCAGTGACCCAGTCTACAGGAGGAGGGTGGCATTGTGACACCCATACGATGCCCCCACACACAAAACAAAGACAATTTACTATATCTAGATACTTAATTTAAATGGCCTTTTTAATTGTTTAATTACGGGTTTTGATGTGTGTGTGTGTGTGTGTGTGTGTGTGTGTAGACTGTGTGTGTGTGTGTTAGACTGTGTGTGTGTGTGTATTAGACTGTGTGTGTGTGTGTGTATTAGACTGTGTGTGTGTCTCCGTGGGGCTGTGCGTTGATTGTGCAGAGAGTAATCAGCAGCGCCTGGCAGACTCCACCTCATTGAAACACTTAATGGTGAAGTACGCCAGGCTAATGATCGCTCGTCTGTTGCCTGACCGAGCAGAGGTACAGTTCTCTCTCTCTCTCTTTCACTCAGCATTTCCTCCCGTCTCTCTCGTTGCCTTCTCCTCCCTTGTTTCCCCGTTACCTTTCTCCTACCTTCCCTCATCCTCCCTCTCTCCTTCCACCCTACCCTCTCTCTCCCACCTTCCCTCACCTTCCTTCCCTTACCCTCTCACTCTCTCCTTCCTTCCCTTACCCTCTCTCTCTCCTTCCTTCCCTTACCCTCTCCTCTCCTTCCTTCCTCACCCCTCTCTCTTCTTCCTTCCTCACCTCTCTCCTTCTTCCCTCACCCCCTCTCCTTCCTTCCCTCACCTTCTCTCTCCTTCCTTCCCTCCCTCACCCTCTCTCTCCTTCCTTCCCTCACCCCTCTCTCTCCTTCCTTCCCTCACCTTCTCTCTCCTTCCTTCCCTCATCCTCTCTCTTTCTCCTACCATCCCTCCCTTCGTCATTAGCCTCCTCTCCTTATCCTCCAGGCTACGGTCGACCACCACACGGACGCACACTCAAGCACCACACACACACACACACAAAAAGGGATGCGCACGAATACATTTCTGCATACACGCAGTCATGCACAAAGGCAGCCTCCCTCATGTACACCACCATACTGCCATGTACCATCAAACAGACGCTCATAATGCTATACACAGACAGCCATATGAACCTTATGACGGAGAAACAAGAAGACAGACATGTGGTTAAACAGCCATATACACTACTGACGGCGAGACAGCTAGCCAGACAGCCATGAACGCACAGGACATACGCACACACCCGCTGTCTGCCGCCACCCTTAAAGGTGAGCCACTCAGCCGCAAACACTAAACATGTTAACTGACGCAGTGCCCCCCACGCCTTCCTACCACGCCCTCATACCTAACCCTCGTACCTACACGCCCCCACCACCACCCTCATACCGATCCCTGGTACCTACACGCCTCATACTCGATCCTCGATCCTGGTACCTACACGCCCTCATACTCGATCCCTGGTACCTACACGCCCTCATACTCGACCCCTGGTACCTACACGCCCTCATACTCGACCCCTGGTACCTACACGCCCTCATACTCGACCCCTGGTACCTACACGCCCTCATACTCGATCCCTGGTACCTACACGCCCTCATATTTCGACCCCTGGTACCCTACACGCCTCATACTCGATCCCTGGCACCTACACGCCTCATACTCGACCCCTGGTACCTACCACGCCCTCATACTAACCCCTCGTACCTACACGCCCTCATACTCGATCCCTGGTACCTACACGCCCTCATACTCGATCCCTGGTACCTACACGCCCTCATACTCGACCCCTGGTACCTACACGCCCTCATACTCGACCCCTGGTACCTACACGCCCTCATACTCGACCCCCATCACCTATACACCCTCATAGTCGACTCCTATACGCCCTCCCCGCCACGCCCAAAGGTAAAACAAGTGGTAGCGTTGATTAAAAAACTTCCATACAAATTAAAAAAAAAATTACAAAATACCTTCAAAGTTGAATCAGATATTCCCCCAAACTACCCTACAAACTTTCACTCCAATATGATGAATAACTTTGGAGTAATTTCGCGTACAAAAATTGGAGTGACGGACGTACGGATGAACAGCAGCCAAAACCAATGCCTTCACATTTTAATCAGACAATCCAAGAAACTATATAAACTTCCCTACAAACTTTCATTCCTCTCTGGTGATTAGTTTTTGAGTAATTTCGCGGACAAAGTTTTGTGACAGAGGGCAAAACGGCAAAAATCAAGATGGCGGATAACGACGTTCTCCAAGGGGCAGCTCAACACAATGGCGGAAAACGGGTTAATAAAATGGCCTGTTTTCTCCTCACAGCATCTGGACACCACTTAAGGACACCGTGGACCTGTAGGACATTCCCTTGCGTGTTTATCCCTGTTATTAATGGTATCCTAACCACTTTTGGACACCCTGGACAAACTCTATACATATGCTATCGTTGACGTCCTAAAGCTTCCTATAACAAACATTAATCCCATCACGCTGTCCTAATATTGTGTGGACATTCTGGACACCTCTACTTATGTGTTATAGCTTACATGTCCCAGTTGATTTGTGGACACCTTGGACACCCCCATATATCGTGTCTCAATCTCTTGTCCACACCGGATATTACTATTCACCCAAACATCCCAACACCCAGCCACTTGTCCTCCCAGCACCCAGCCACTTGTCCTCCTAGCACCCCGCCACACGTCCCCTCCTAGCACCCAGCCAGGCATATCCCCTCCTAGCACCCCGCCACACGTCCCCTCCTAGCACCCCCGCCACACGTCCCCTCCTAGCACCCAGCCAGACACATCCCCTCCTAGCACCCAGCCCCACGCCTCCTAGCCAGCCGTGAACACCTGAGGCTTGTCATACAATACCTAGTGTTTGCCGGCTTGAGACACTATTTTATCACATTTCTCAATTAAAAAAATATATATAATACACTATCATTTAATATATATATATATAATAAACTATTATTATATCCTAAAAAATATTAATATAAAAAATACGTTAAAAATTGAGTAGAAAATAATGTTGGTTTTTATTTTTAAATTCAAGAGGAAATGAAAGATTTTTTTTTAATAAGTTTCACCTCGGGAGATGAGATTCCACGTGACCTGATGTTCAACGAAGCGAATATTCGTTAATGTCGTTAAGTCTGTGTATAACGTGCTGTAGGGGTGAGATTAACGCCAGGACAGTAGCGGTAACAAAGCCTCGCCAACCATTTCTTGTTAATTTACATAAAACCCGAGCAAAACTCACAAGCATCCTGACCGAGTCTTTGTAACCCGGAGTAAACAATGGCGGGCGAGGCGGTGCAAAATATTTCCCCCGAGAACCAAAAAACTGGGAATATTAAGGTTACTCAACACTTAATACGGGTAGACATCTTGTACATAGTGATTAATGGTGTTTCTTACCTTATTTAGGAGGTGGTGGGAGACGTGAGGAAGTAATGAGGTCGTTGTATATCTCACGAGAGGTAGACACAGACTGTGGCGAGAAAGTTGAGTTTGCCGCCTCAACCCTCCAACACCCGCACAGTTGCCACATCGTATTTAAACCTACTCTTTTTTTTTTTAATAAGTTTTTATACCGGTAATAACAAAATAAAATCAATATATAATTTCATTTTATTTATATATCATGAAGTTATTTTATATATACGAGTTATATTAGGATATAAATAAGGTTATATATGGAAGAGCGAGATGTTGAATGGTGATTATTACTCGAATCAAATTTCTTGCTAACAGGTAAAGAAGACAAGCGAAACGCGGTTAACAAAATGTACAAAAATATATCAAACTACATATTGTCACTTTTTAGGATATATAGAATTTAAAATATATATCTTATAGGGTTGTGTGGTTAGTATATATAGGAGAGGAAATTGGTATATATGTTAAGTAGAAAGTGACCAAAACAGCCTCGTATGTCTGGCAGCGAGGTGGCGTACGCTGCTGCCAGGTAGAGCCACGCCCACCGCTGCATACCTCCGAGGCCCTCCCTCACCCACGCCATTCTCCGTCTATCCCATCCTACAGCCTCATCTACCATTAATCTATCCAATATATCAGTCTATCCATTATACACCTCAAAATTAAATAAAAAAAATCACCATGGATAACTGACCAACGAGAGATATCCACCCCAGTTTCTTTCCATTGTTGTTAGGGATTAATTTGTGTAACCCGGGTGCTTGGCAACAGCCTGGGAGAGGAACCAGGGCGCAGCTGACTACCTAAAACAAACTCTTTATCCTATTAAACTGACGCACATAGAGCTTGTCAGCGCATCTCACCCAACTATCACACACACACATACACACATACATAGAGCCGAACTAAAATACAGCAAAATACACAATACACCTAAAGCATACACACAAGGACATGTGTATTTATGACTGTATTACGTAATGCATTTCGCTGTATAGGTCGTGAAGCCGATATACACACCTTAGTTGTATAGACCCTGACAGTGCCTAAGGGTGTATTACCTCACCCTGACAGTGCCTAAGGGTGTATTACCTCACCCTGACAGTGCCTAAGGGTGTATTACCTCACCCTGACAGTGCCTAGGGGTGTATTACCTCACCCTGACAGTGCCTAAGGGTGTATTACCTCACCCTGACAGTGCCTAAGGGTGTATTACCTCACCCTGACAGTGCCTAAGGGTGTATTACCTCACCCTGACAGTGCCTAAGGGTGTATTACCTCACCCTGACAGTGCCTAAGGGTGACAGTGCCTAAGGGTGTATTACCTCGCCCTGACAGTGCCTAAGGGTGTATTACCTCACCCTGACAGTGCCTAAGGGTGTATTACCTCGCCCTGACAGTGCCTAAGGGTGTATTACCTCACCCTGACAGTGCCTAAGGGTGTATTACCTCACCCTGACAGTGCCTAAGGGTGTATTACCTCACCCTGACAGTGCCTAAGGGTGTATTACCTCACCTGACAGTGCCCTGGCACCTCACCTGACAGTGCCTAAGGGCTTCTCACCCTGACAGTGCCTAAGGGTGTATTTCCTCACCCCTGACAGTGCCTAAGGGTATATTACCTCACCCTGACAGTGCCTATGGTGTATTAACTCACCCTGACAGTGCCTAGTATTACCTCACCCTGACAGTGCCTAAGGGTGTATTTCTCACCCTGAGCCAAGGGTGTATTACCTCACCCCTGACAGTGCCTAAGAGCACATCTCACCCTGACAGTGCCTAAGGGCATTACCTCCCTGACAGTGCCTAAGGGTATTTCTCACCCTGACAGTGCCTATAGGGTATTACCTCACCCTGACAGTGCCTAAGGGTATTACTCCCCACCCTGACAGTGCCTATGTATTACCTCACCCTGACAGTGCCTAAGGGTGCATTTCACCCCTGACAGTGCCTAAGGGGTGTATACCTCACCCCTGACAGTGCCTAAGGGTGTACACCTCACCCTGACAGTGCCCTAAGGGTGTATTTCCTCACCCTGACAGTGCCTAGGGTGTATTACCAACCTGACAGTGCCTAAGGGTGTATTTCTCACCCTGACAGCCATGGGTGCATTTCCTCCCTGACAGTGCCTAAGGGTATTACCCCACCCTGACAGTGCCTATATTTCTCACCCTGACAGTGCCTAAGGTATACACCACCCTGACAGTGCCTAAGGGTATTACCTCACCCTGACAGTGCCTAAGGGTATTACTTCACCCCACAGTGCCTAAGGGTGACATCTCACCCCTGACAGTGCCTAAGGGTATTTCTCACCCCGACAGCTTATAAGGGTGATTTCCCCTGACAGTGCCTAAGGGTGATTACCCTGCCCTGACAGTGCCTAAGGGTGTATTACCTCACCCTGACAGTGCCTAAGGGTGACACCTCACCCTGACAGTGCCCCATAAGTACCACCCCTGACAGTGCCTAAGGGGTATACACTCCACCCTGACAGTGCCTAAGGGAGGCATTACCTCACCCCTGACAGTGCCTTAAGGGTGCGAACTCCTCACCCTGACAGTGCCTAGGTGTATTACCCTGCCCTGACAGTGCCTAAGTGGCAGACACCTCACCCTGACAGTGCCTAAGGGTATTACACCTCACCCCTGACAGTGCCTAGGGGTGCATTACACCTCACCCTGACAGTGCCTAAGGGTGTATTTCACCCTGACAGCCTAAGGGTGTATTACTCACCCCTGACAGTGCCTAAGGGTATTTCTCACCTGACAGTGCCTAAGGGTGGCACACCACCTGACAGTGCCTAAGGGTGTATTACTCCGCCCCTGACAGTGCCTAAGGGTATTACACCACCTGACAGTGCCTAAGGGTAATATCTCGCCCTGACAGTGCCTAAGGTGTATTTCTCACCCTGACAGTGCCTAAGGGTATACACCACCCCTGACAGTGCCTAAGGGTGTATTACTGCCCTGACAGTGCCTAAGGGTGTATTACCTCACCCTGACAGCCCAGGGGTGTATTACTCCACCCTGACAGTGCCTAAGGGTGTACTAATCTCACCCTGACAGTGCCTAAGGGTGTATTACCTCACCCTGACAGTGCCTAAGGGTGTATTACCTCACCCTGACAGTGCCCAGGGGTGTATTCACCACCCTGACAGTGCCTAGGGTGTATTACCTCACCCTGACAGTGCCTAAGGGTATTACCTCACCCTGACAGTGCCTAAGGGTATACACCACCCCTGACAGTGCCTAAGGGTACACTCCTGCCTAGGTCTACCACCCTGACAGTGCCTAAGGGTGTATTACCTCACCCCTGACAGTGCTCTATATGTATTCCTCACCCTGACAGTGCCTAAGGGTGTATTACCTCACCCTGACAGTGCCTAAGGGTGACACCACCCTGACAGTGCCTAAGGGGTGTACACCACCCTGACAGTGCCTAAGGGTGTACACTCAC